GGTGGGTTTCTGATGAGAAAATTTTGGTTTTTGTTGATTTTTTTGTTGTTGTTGTTTAACAGACATCAAGACAAATAGTAATTAGGCTGATTTTGTAGTACAAACATGAGTCATACTTTTAAAATTATGCAATGAAGATAATTGCTATAATTGTAAAACCACACCTATCATATAAATGCCGTCTTGGTCCATATACTTGACTAAAATTATTTAAGTTATAAATGCCTAATTTATAATCCATTAAGTATTATTTTCTCTTTATCAGTATTCTTGATGTTTCTATTTTTTATGCTGCTTTCTTCATCTCTGTAAAATGGTATGTTTGATAGTAATAGTCCAATTAAAGTGTCAGCAAAAATCCTATCATCTACCAAAATAAGTTGGAATAATGATGAAATATTTTAATATCATCAATTTATAAGAGCACAAATGACTCAAAAAAACAAGTAAGAAGTAGTAATATTTAGGAAAACTATACACTACATCATTTTTTAAGGAAGGGAGATGAAGAGATAGCACAGAGGGTAAGGTCTTGCCTTGCACACAGCTAACCTGGTTCATCCTCTAGAGCCCCGAATGGTCCCCTGAGTCCTGATCTGACAGGAGTAATGCCTGAGCACAGAAGCAGTGGTAAGCCCAGAGCACAGCTGGGTGTGGCCCCAAAATTCAAACAAACAAAAAACTAAAAAAACTAAAAGAGAAGTGAATATAAAACGAGATATTTAAATTACAAAAATGAATCTAACATTTTCAGGTTAGGAATGACTTCTGATTGCTGACTTTTTTTTTCCCCCTTAGTTCTCTTGTTTTGAGAAAGGAAGTAAATTATACAGAAAAACATTAAAAACACAAAATCAATTGAATTATTTATATTCTTACTTATCCAATTACTCTGTACTTTTTCAGAGGCTTTCATTTGAAAAATAAGAGTGGTACTGGATGACCTCCAAGGTTTATAGCTGCTCTAACATTCAGAGATTCTATTAACACCTTCTCTTTCTTGATCTTCAATGCTATCCACTACCTGCAGTAACTTCTGAATCAAAATAGAAATGATTTTAGAGTCAATCATGTGTACAGGTGTTTCTATTCAAAAGTAAAACAAATGTCAGAAGTAAATACATCAAATATATTGCACGGATACTAACAGACCAGTTGCAGTAAGCTAAACTTCGTCAATGCTGAAGAAAATATCCCAGTAGGCCTGGTTCATCCAGGTATATTTTTAAATTTAAATTTAAATTTACCCATAATGACCTAAGTAATGACCAGAGGAATGTTTACTCCTTGGATTGGAATGATATAACTCCAGGTAAGGTATTTGTCTTGCATACAGCCAAATGGGTTGGATCCCAGGTACTACATATGGTCCACTGAGCCCATCTGGGAGTAATCCCTGAGTGCAGAGCCACGAGTAAGCCCTGAGCACTGCCGTGTGTGGCCCAAAATACAAAACCAAACAAATGAAACTGAATGTTCCTTCCTTTCTTAAAATATGCTAAGGCTTTCTTATAGCTGAATGACCTCGGTCAACTTGCCAGTTTGAAGTCTCCAGCATTTCGTCTCCAAAGACCTATAGCCCACACAATGCCAAGGGGCTAAAAATTCCTGTGCTCACTCTATGTTTTCACCATCAAATTTACTTCTGCTATGAATCTTAACTGTCATTTTAGAACTGTAATTGATTGGATTATTCTATGTAACCTCCTTCTACCACTTACCTCATCTACTTTCTTCCTCTTCTAATGACTAATCCTCATTTTCATCATCATCATCATCATCATCGACAGTAATAATATAAATAAATGATCCACAAAATTACTTCTCTAAGGGTACTTCATCCTTTATATCAAGTTTTTCAGTTGTTGAATGCTAAATATCATAGGCAAGAAAAACCAATCAGATCTATCTCTAGTCTCGGTTTTGCCATAGTTCTAGCTGTATAATCTCATTCCAACCACCAACTTACTCTACTTCTAGAATTTTTCATGCAATTGAATTTTACCACACAATCCTGAGTCCATCTAATATACATCATGTCCTTGGAACTGTGGAATGTGAGGCTGTGCCCTGGAATCCCCTAGTTCTCTATTACAGTCACAACACGACACATTTCAGAATGTTATGAACTAAAGAGAGTGAGAGACACTCAATGGGTTAGACCTGAAACCAGAATTATAACCAATAGTTTTTCCCATTCAATACTTGACTTGGTTTCACTGTCTCAGCCTTATCCCACTGGAAGCCTTGTTAATGAAACATGTGGCTCTATGACAAATTTGAAGAGGAAATTGTTTATCAGCACTGTAGCACTGTCCTCCCATTGTTCATTGATTAGTTTGAGCGGGCCCAGTAACATCTCCATCGTGAGACTTGTTACTGTATTTGACATATCAAATACGTCACGGGTAGCTTGCCAGGCTTTGCCATATGGGCAAGATACTCTCGGTAGCTTGCCGGGCTCTTCGAGAGCGGTGGAGGAATTGAACTTGGGTCAGTCGAGTGGGCCACATGCAAGGCAAATGCCTTACCCACTGTACTATCACTCCAGCCACTCTATTTAACCGCTATGCCATTTGTGATGCAATTAGTAATTCACAAGGCTGGGACTTAGAGGGGTTTGTGATTTCAGTTATAACTCAAACATTAAATAAAAATATCACCCAAGACCTTAGCAGATAGATTCTCCCAAATAGTTTTTCTTTTTAATGCCTCCCAATCCAGTTAAAGAGTCCTCCCTGGGACGGAGATGCGGATGGCTCTCTCTCTCTCTATAAATAGGCTCTTCCCATGCTATGTGAATCATGGTTGCTGACAGCAAATCAACAGATTATTTGGCTTTGTTAGTAACAATAATAGCATGCTATCATCTTCCCCAAAAGCTTCTTAGCACCCCACATATCCATTCTTCCAAGCTGTGCTTCAGAACATACTCAGCCAGGGGTGCAGCAATGCACACACATGTTGCCCTTGCACTGGGCTTGTCTTAGCAGATCCTGTGATCTTCTTACAGACTCTTACTATGACATTTTAACTAGAGGAAGTCACCAGTCAGGATCCTCTCTGCCAAGATGTATGCCAAGTAGGTGAGAAAGAAGAGCAGATTAATTGAACACCTAAGAAAATAAGGAATTCCCAATTGCCTTAAATTCTCTATTTTCTTATGAGATACTATAGAAAAGGACAGCAGGAAGAAGGAAAACAGTCCTCCCTTCCCTGGCAAAATGAAGGCATCCCAATAAGTCATCTACAAATCAACAAAGATCAGGAAAATGTATATCTATTCTCAAATAAAACCTATTATTTGTTTTATAAACTTGTTTTTAACTGAGTACATGAGTAGCTTTTATTCATAAGAATCATATAATGACCCCAAGCAGACTTCAAAAACATATTCCCCAAACTGCTATGTGAGTCATATTCAGATTCTTGAAGAAGTTTCTTACAGACCACAGAAGCACAGTGAGAAAACAGCTCATAAAAGATCCCTGTACAATAACAACAACAAAAAAGGATTTAAGTTTTCCTTATGTAAATTATTTACTTTAAATCATACTGTGCTAATCATAAGTAACTATATTTTGCATAAATCATTAAGAAACAAACAGGACATCTGAGTGGGTACAAAATAACATACACCACTGGCTTCCACCTAGGTATCATCATAACTTTTGTTCACTCCTGAACTTTACAGGCTAAGAAAAATGAGCCCACTAAGGAGTAAATAATACCATGAAGAACCAATGAAGAAATGAGATGAGATGGTTTCTTCACAAGACTTAATCCCCAAATTTCTAACCTAACTCAGAGCCACAGTCATCCAGAGTTCACAAGTGTTTTTCTCCCTCACTGATGCTAGCCCCAGAACCTCACCCTGGAAACCAGGTGAACACCACAGAGTTGCAAAGATGCCATGCTGGTTTATACTGATCCCAGAGCAGGTTTTCTAGACAGCCTTTCCATGAAGTGATCCCCAGTGATCTCAACAATTTGCGGGCCATACCCAGAAGACCAGTAGTCTGAGGAAGCACAGAACTCAGAACTCAGCAATTCTTCTCTTATTCATTCAAGTTGGGACACTCTCCTGGCGGGCTAGACATAATCACTCAGAAAGTCAGGCTAACCCACGTTCTTGTACAAACACAACCTTTTGAGTTTAAAGAAGAGAACCAGCTTCATAATCCTGCCAAGAAAATCTCTGAAAAGTCGGAAGTTTTCTTTACTCTCCTTGGCACCAAAGTGCAGATTCACATTTGTCTCTTAACGTCCCCCCAGGAGAGTGAGAAGGCAAAGAATAGGAGTAAGGGGAAGAAAACTGAATGAGCAGAGCCCTTGAAAATTGTGAAAATAGTTGGAGGAAGCGATTTGGGAAAGGAAGTCTATGTAGGAAGGAAATGGATGGGCAGGTGGGAAGATGGGGTGAGAAATTGATCTGGATGTCTGAAAGAGGAAATGATGTGTTGCTGGGGAAAAGAAAATTAAGTCCAGGTGGTGTTTACAAAGTACCTTTATGTGTTCAAAACTATGCTGAATGTTATGAGAAATGTAGGGAGAATTATTTAAATGTAGGTACTGATATGCAATGGTGCAAGCATGCTGAAAATGGATGGATGGGTGGATGGATGGATGGAGAGAAGGAGGGAAAGAGAGATGGGAGGATGTATGGATGGGCAGAGAGACGGTTGGACAGAGTGAGAAAGAGAAAGAGAGAGCATGAGATGATCCTGGTCTCTACAGGCTGCCTGGAACCAGGAACGCGTGTTACATGTTACACAGGGAGCACTCGTCCTAATCGAACCGTGAATTCAAGGTATCAAGTGTTTTCTGAATGCTGAGCCAAGAAGGTATTGGCTGGTAGGCAAACTAAAAGAGAAGTGGAGGGGCACCCAGAATGGACGAGGGGGGTTCTGGTTCCCTTCCCTGGCTGCCCGCAGGTGCACTGCATGTGGGGAGGAGAGCATCAGTGTCTGGAGAAACCCACTCTCCGGGCTGCTACTGACCTGGTCTCCGCCTCACTGGCCTCTTGCGGCCGCTGCAGAAGCGCACTTTGCTGAATACCCCGAGAACGTGCCTCTCGCACAGGGAGCGCCCGTCTTTGCTGGGGCTGGAGCGGCGCTTGGAGGCCGACACCCGGTCGCTGTTGGACTCCCTCGCCTGTCGCTTCTGCCGGATCAACGAGCTGGCTATCGCCGCAGCCATAGCTGCTCAGCGCGGGCCCCAGGCCCTGGGCTCCACGGCGCCCTCGGACTTGCGATCCGCCGGGACCAGGGCAGGACCTCGGCGGCCGGGAGGGAGAGGGCAGGCGCGGGGAGGAGGCAGTGCTAATATTTGAGGAGGCTGCAGTCTTGAAAACCCGGTGCCCACAAGGATAAATCAGAGTCTGGGCAGTGGTGACCAACTTAAAAAAAAATGTGTGAAAATCCAGATGTAAACTTCCCCCCAAAACCGCTGGCGGCGGCAGGGGGCGGGGAGGTCCCAGGCCTGGCAGCTAAACTAGACTCGTGCAGCGCCCGGCGATCCGCGTCCAGGGCAAGGAACTGGGGAGTTGGGTCACACTGCGTTCGGAGTGGCAAGTGCCAGGGTGCAGGAGGACGTCCAAAACAACACGCCGTGCCCCCCGTGGGAGAGAGAGAGGCGCCAGCGTGCTCAGGTGTCCAAAGTAGATGCTACACAGACCTAGAAAACCCGTCTAACGGAGCTGAGTCGCACACCCGGGCGGCTCCGCCGGGCTCCCGCAGGTCGGGAAAGAAAACAAAAAAAAAACCACTTTTTAAAAAAGTGAAGAAAACGTTCCAGGAGAAAACAAGAAGTCAGAGAGAGGAGGAAGCGAGGCAGGCAGCGCTTGAACTCCCCCGCGGCGGCCCGCAGTTCTGGGGCTTTAGGAGGTCCGTCCCGGCCGAGCTGGGAGGTCTACGGAATGCATCGTCGCGGCTGCGGTGCTCCCGGGGCGCCCCCGCCGCCCGAGGTCGGGGATTCCGAGAGGCGCCAAGTGGGAGCGGCGGAGCCCCGAGCCGGGGCAAGGGGAGCCGGGCGGGGGCAGCTGTTTCCAGCTGCGGAGAGCGCGACTCCCGCCGGCAGCGCTGCGAAGAGAGCGGGAGGCGCGGGCGGAGGGGGAGGGAAGGAGGGGCGCGAGGGAGGCGGGCGATCCTCGAGGGCCGAGCACCCCTCCGGGAGCAGTGAGGCGGGGTGCCGGGGCGGCGCGGGGTCCCGCGAGCCGGGCGCGCTTTCCCGCTGCCTCGCCGCCGCGCTCGCGGGCGCGAGCCGGGCACAGTTGGTGATTATTTGGGGGAAATCCTAAAATCTGGAATGACTCAGTCGTTTCAAGAAGCCCCCCCACCCACCGCACCCGCCGCCCCCCGGGGCCACGGGCAGCGCCCGAGGGGTCGGCTCCAGCCCGGCGGCCCCCCACGCACACGCTCCGAGCCCCGGAGCTCCCCGCCCAGGGGCCCGCCGCGCCCGGGTCGCCGCACCGGCTCAGAGGGAGCGAGCGGAGCAAGGGGGCGCCCTGGCGGGGCTCGGCATCAGGTCATCGCCGCGCGGCCCGCGCCCCCCCACCCCGCCCGGGGCTCCGGCAGCCCCCGGTCTCCCTCCCCCCCGCCCGGCTGCGCGGATCAGATGGGGATTACCCGCCCGACGCCAGGCCGCTCACTCAGTCCCGCGCGGCCCATCCCGGCGGCCGAGGAAGCAAGTGACCGGCGCGCTGCAAAGCCCCGCGCGGCGGCGGCTCGAGTGGGGCGGGCGCTGGCTGCAGGCGACGTCGGATCGAGGTGGCTGCGGCTCCGGCCCGGAGCTGCCCACCATGGTCTGGCGCCTAGAGGGGGTGGCGGGCGCGGGCAGGGGTGGCAGGGGCGGCGGGGGTGGCAGGGGCTTCCTCCTTTCGGCCTCGCGGGGCCACGGCGGGAGGCGGCCCCGCCGAGCGCGCCCCCTGCCCGGGTGCCGGGGGGGACCCGACGCAGACTCCGGAGCCGGGGTCAGGCAGGGGAGGGCGGCCGCCAACTCGGCCAACTTGCTGCCGGCTGCTAGCGGGGCGTCCCCCGGCGCGGCGCCGTCGCCTCCCCCGGGCCCCCGAGGGGGCGCTCAGGGCGGAGTCCCATTCACCGGCCGAGGCTGGGGCGCGCGCCGGCCCGCCGACGCGCTCGGCTGGACCGCGGGCTCTGCAGGCAACTCCGGGCGCAGAGGACAGCCGGGGAGGCGGGTGGGACCCCGCGGCCGGCAGCCGCCGGGAGTCCCTCCTTCCCCGCTCGCCCACCTGCCCTAGAGCGCGGGTGCGCTCAGGTGGGGCCAGGTTGCGGGGGCCCCCGGGCTCCCCGAGCGCAGGGAAGCGCAGCGCGCCCGGGTCCGCCTCCCCCCGCAGGCACCCTCGGCTCCCAGACGCCCTCCCCTCCCGCCCGCCCGTCACCCCACTCCCCCTTCTCTGTCTTGTGTCGCTCCCCTTTCCTCCTCTCTACGCAATCCTACGTGATTGAGGTTTGGATGAGAAATTCTCAGAGGCAGAGAGAGGGAACTGCAGCTCGGGTCGACTCTGTCCCATCCCTCCCCCAGGAGAAAACAATCACCGGCCAGTTAAAGGACCCTGGGTTTGCCAAGCAACGGCTGGAGGGGGGGGGGGGGGGAGCTGGGACCAGCTCGAACACTACTAACGCTTCTTGGTTTGGGGAGGAAGGCAGGGAACACTGGAGAAAGTCACAGTGGCCTCTTGAATCCTTCTTGTGGAGCCCCACCTTTGGCTCATTTTGGAAAGCTGGCGGGGGGGCGGGGGGGGGGGCTAGTGTTTCCGCATTCCTGAATCGCAGATTGCTCGGCTCTTTCTGGAAAGCGGACTCAGTTCTAACTATCCTAAAATGAGAGACCAAGTGCGCAGCCTGCATCAAATGGAGATGACGTGAGAGTAACTGGAGGCAGAGAGCAGGTCTGGAGTACTATAGGGTCTTCAAGAGTGTTTGCAGTAACTGCTGGAAGATACCAGAAAGTCAGTACAGGAGATAATGTCAGCTATGTTAGCATGGAGCAGGAAGGATTTGCGAAACGCCAGAGGAATATTCCATCCAAGGGAAGGCCTGGGAGTGGTTGTTGTACTTGCAGTCTCTTCAACTTGTCTTCAAATATTACAGCTCCCCACCCTCACCTCGACTTGGGGCACCCTTTGTGATCATCAGAGGTAGTGCCAAAAAGATTCCGTGGATGATTTCCAAGCAGACAGATGAATGTTGGAAATACACTGATAGAGGGCAAAGAAAAATGCAGGTGCTAGAAACTACTTAAAATAGACATGAGAGTCAGAGAGGCACCAGAAACTCTCAATGAGAGCACAATGCCGTGAGCCTAGCAGAAATTCACGAATGCATCAGGTCTTTGGAGGCTGAGAGGATGCTTAGACCAATCCTTAAATCTGGATGCTGAGAATCTGCTCGCTGAGCAGCATTTAAGATTAACTGAGGCAACCGACATGGCCTTATCTGGAGGAGGCTTAAACAGGAAAGGTGTTTTGAGTGGGGAAATCCCAACTGTCAAAGCCCAGCACACAGTCCATGAAGATAAACAGTTATGTGGAGGAATAAGAAGAGTGGAGTTGTGGTTTTACAAAACACTACTCAAAGTGCATGGGTGAGGCGAGGGCAATTACTTAAAAATCCACTTGGGACATTATTAATTAGAGAAATGTCCACGATTTATATATTTTTTCGACCTTGGCTACCAAAATTGTCTCAAACTTTAAAAAAGGCGGGTACCTATAATAGTCGCTGGTATTGTGGCCTTGTCTTTTGCAGGTCTGCCCCCCACCACGACTCCGACCCCCACCCCAAAAGAAAAGGTCAGCTAAGGTAAGGAATCCGGGGAAATTGGAAAGTGGGAGTATAGTGAGGATTTGAGAAAAGCAATGCTAAACTCTGAATCGCTTTTTTATCCTCAAAATGGGAATAATCATTTCTATCTACCTCATAGAACTGAATATGTATGTGCAAGCATTTTGAAAACTGGAAAATGCCAAATGAGTGAAAGAGATGATGACTGCGTTTATTCTTTTTTTAAGAAAATGCATGATATTCTTCCAAGATTTTTTTTTTAAATGTGGATGCACACAAACTAAAACTTAATCTCAGACCTAGCACATTCTCCAAAATGGTAGTCCTGTGCAGTCACCCCCACCCAAAAAAAGAAAATTTAAAAAGGCCCTGTAATTTAAAAAAAAAAGTGTGTGTTCTGTCATCTTTGAGTGTACTGTGTTTTTTCCCCTGTAGCTTTTATAAGAAATGAATATGCTTTGATGTGAAGGTAACCAGTGTAGCGGCATAGAGGTGCAGCAAAGAAGTGGTAGCAGGGGAAAGATGAAAAAACAGATGGCAATTGCTGTTTGAAGTCCTCTCTGTTTTCACAGGACAACATCAAGTTCGGCATTTAAGGAACAAAGCAAAAAAACAATAAATGCCAGCTGTTTGAGCATGGCGTTATTCCTGTCTTAAGATCTCTAACACAAGAATTTGGTATCTGCGATTCAATAAGACAACAAAGACTTTGCTTTTTCCTTGCACCCCTGTAGTGAGGGTGCTTTGGGCTCCTTGGCCACTTTATCACTTACACTAGATACTCTAAGAAGAGGGAAATAGAGAGAAACTTAAGAAGTCATCTAGGACCTAAGTACAAAGCCACTGTACTCAGGAATAATACTTAGCTTTTCAAATTGTTCAATCTCTAGAACATGACTTCTTACCAGACCCACTCAATTTCATCAGACTTCAGTAACTAAGACAATAGCTATGCACTGTCTTTGCATTTTGGAGACAGGAATGAGATTAAATATGTACTGATGATTTAGGTGGGGGGGGGGAATCAGGTTATTTTAATGGGCGTGATTTTGATTTTTTTATACTACACTTTATTGAACAATTTGAGAATCTTTAATAATTCTGAAGACACCAGAGGTAGAAGCAGTTTTAATTGATTTGAAGGAAGTTTCCAGATAACTATCTAAAGGATAATTATATTTCCGACTTCCATTTTTTAAAAATTATTCATCAAACCATTTTACTGTATTCAAAAGTTCTACTTTAGGTATTCCTTTGGATCCACTCATAAGGTATATTGCAACAGGATAGAGCTTAACATTCTAGTATATTCCAGGTTCTGGTACAAAGAGTATTCGTATGACTTACAACAACTCTAACAACTCTGGCTCGGCAAGATAAATTCTTTTCCAAGCATGGAATTACATAGCCAAAATTAAAATTGAAAGAATTAGCTATAAAATCTCAGTGGATTGATTTGAAGATATTTTACATATGTTCTTTCTTAGCAGACAAGCACTATATTTTCTGTCATGATTGGGCTTCAGCCATATAATGTTCCAACACCCATTCCTTCACCAATGTGCATTTTCACCAACAGTGTTTGATTTCCATTATTTGT